TTTTCAGGAGCTTCTAGATAACTAAAAATCCAGATGAATTGATTCTTATTCTTGAAATTCCAGCTCTAAGGCAGCCAATGACTCTATACTGGGAAATGCATGATGAGAAAAGGCATTTCTACCCTATCCTTTCCAAATACAGAATCCAACTTGATTTAACCTTAAATAAATTAAACCATATTGACAAGAGAGCAGTGTCTTCCATGGGACTGCAGGGAGCAGACTAACTTGGCAGGGCTCAGACCAGGCTACATCGGAAAAGGAAAGATGAGCCAGAGAAATGTAGCTGTCCTTGAACAGGCTTCCTGGATAAGAAGGAGAGGAGATGTTTTCTTTTCAAGCTAACTACACTGGGGAATAGTGATCTACTTCAGCTGGCCAAATATTTGTCTGGCTAGCTCTTCTGAAGTTTCATTTCTCATCCTACTCATGCTGTCAGGCAGGCTACCACTCAATTAATAATTGCTGGGAAAATAGGCCGTCATTAGCAAAGGGAGGTCCAACAAAAGGCCACAAAGGCAAGTACACATGTATACATTGCTGTCGGAGACAAAAAGCTACAGGACTTCCAGCTGACGTCACAGTGACATTGGACGTGAGGAGAGGGTTTTCGTGCTCCCGTGCCCAATTCTCCTCATTGGAGGGCTCTGACAGGCTAACCACTTGTAGCGGTGGTAAGCAATAGCAATAGCAGTTAGACTTATATACCGCTTCATAGGGCTTTCAGCCCTCTCTTTGCTGACTCTGTAAAGTGGTTTACAGAGTCAGCATATCGCCCCCACAGTCTGGGTCCTCATTTTACCCACCTCGGAAGGATGGAAGGCTGAGTCAACCTTGAGCTGATGAGATTTGAACCGCCAAACTGCAGCTTAGCAGTCAGCTGAAGTGGCTGCAGTACTGCACTCTAACCACTGCACTACCTTGGCTCTTAAAGCCGGTAAAGAAAAGAGGGATGCCCTGCAGGTCACGGAGAGCTGCAATTCTTCTGATTGACTCAGGGCTTCTTCCCTCTCATCCATGACGAGGAGAAGAGACCGCTATCATGGCTGTCATGAAGCTGGGATAGCCGAGGCAACAAAGAAAGTGCAGGAGTGGTATAGATGGACAGTGACTGGAGCTGGGTGAAAAGATCCATTTTTTAATTTATACCCTAACTTTAAAAGGAAAAAAAGAGAGAAAATCCAGGAAAAGAGACTCTTATAACTGTTTTTTAAAATGATGAACAATTATGCAGAGAAAAATCCTAGACCTGAAAGAAAGAAACCAAGGGGAGAAACACTAAAGACTTTTTAAAAAATTGACTTTTGAACTGGGCAGGTGTTGTTTTGGAAAGGCATTTTAAAATGCTGGAATTATCTACTTGAATAATTGACTTTGCCTCACAAATTGAATTAAAACTGGATAAAATAACTTTTACATTTGAAATAATGCTGAAAAACCTAAGCTGTGGGCACTACCTGCTGATGAATGGAAAATATACCATACCCCTACAAGCCTGGGAAAGTTTTTTATAAGTGAAATAAACAAGATTCATATGGAGGACTATGGTGATACCTACTGTTGTATAATCATCTAAAATAAATCCTAATAAAATACTAAAAAAAAAAAACTTTTATGATTACTGGAGACTCAACTGTGGGAATAAGGAAGACTCTTAAGTAAAGTAAAGTGTAAAGTAAAGTAAAGTAAAGTAAAGTAAAGTAAAGTGACTTCTAAATTTTGGAAGGCTTCCTGGACTATCTAGATGGAACTCCTTGAATAATCCTGGAATATAAAGAACTATGAGTATTGTACTTTCTGAGGAGCAACATTAGGCTTGAATTGTTTTTGGACTATTGAGTAAGAGCGGGATTTATTAAAATAAGACAAGATGCTCCATCAGGGGAAATAAGTGAAATTTCAAAAGAAATGGTGTTGATGTCCCAAAGCATTAAGGACAGAGAATGATAAAGAAGTACAGGGAGATAAAGAATCTATTGCATGGCATAAATGGGAAAATAGAAAATATCTTGCAACTGATAATGAATGAAGATCAAAAATCCCAGGAATGAGAGGAGAGAACAGAAAAAATGGAGGAAAAGACAGAACAGAAAAACCAGCAAATAAAGCAAGAAGGTGAGAAGGAGAAGATAATAAAGATGATATTATCATGACTGATGGAAATAAACCAAGGGGAAAGTACTTTAAGAGATTTAAAAATAGAATAGGATAAACAGAAATATTTTTGAAAGGGAGATAGGACCCTGGGTAGATATTCTGGAGGCTGGGCAGCATAGGAGGATAGAGCTAAGAGAAATGTGTAGACTGAATAGTGAAGATACAGATCTAGATAGAGACAAGAATCCAAGAGAGGTATATGGGAGGCAAGCTAAAAAGCGAATAAGAATTGCAGTATTAAAATGGGCAAGAGCTGATGGATAGAAAGGAAATCTTTCTTTCTTTCTTTCTTTCTTTCTTTCTTTCTTTCTTTCTTTCTTTCTTTCTTTTAATATAATGTTGGCCTGATTAAAAACTAGAGTAGAGATAGAAATAAGAATACACATTCTTATATAAAGTAATAGCTAAATGGAAAAATTAGAGATTGAAAGATGGTATTATTATGTTTAAATAATATGGTGATTGGCACTAGAATGGTGCATGGAAACATTTAATAATTAAATAATAAAGGACTATATCCTAATATAAACGTGTATTAGTAGAATAGAATAGTAGAATTCTTTATTGGCCAAGTGTGATTGAACACACAAGGAATTTGTCTTTGGTGCATATGCTCTCAGTGTACATAAAAAGGCAAGGTACATTCATCAAGAATCATAAGATACAATACTTAACGATAGTCATAAGGTACAAATAAGCAATCAGGAAACAATATCAATATAAATCGTAAGGATACAACCAAAAGTGTCCTGCAATCATAAGTGGGAAGAGATGGGTGCTAGGAACAACGAGAAGACTAATAATAATAGTAATGCAGCCTTAGTTAATTGTTTGACAGTGCTGAAGGAATTATTTGTTTAGCAAAGTGATGGCATTTCGGGCAAAAACTGTTCTTGTGTCTTGTTGTCTTGGTGTGCAGTGCTCTATAGTGTTGTTTTGAGGGTAGGAGTTAAAACAATGTATGTCCAGGATGTGAGGAGTCTGTAAATATTTTCACGGCCCTCTTTTTGACTCATGCAGTGTATAGGTCCTCAATGGAAGGCAGATTGGCAGTAATGGTTTTTTCTGCAATCCTTAACACTAGGATTAGCAATTGTGGCTTGACTAGAACCACGAACAGAGGTAGAAATAAGAAATATGGGGAATATTAGCACACATATTTTTATACAATAGAATAAAAGCAATAACTAGAGGGAAAGATTAGAGGTTGAAAGATGTTACTATGTGAGCACAAATAATATTGTGATTAGCATTAAAATATTGAATAACTACTTTAAAACAAACATGTATATTAATACTAGGATTTCATAAGTTTGATTAATGTAACAAATATTATTAATATTATATAGTTCTAGGCTGCATAAACAGAGGGATAGAATCAAAATTATGTGAAGTGTTAATACCAATTTATAATGCCTTAGTAAGGCCACACTTGGAAAACTGCATTCAGTTTTGGTCGCCATGACATAAAAAGAATTTGAGACTCTATAAAGAATGCAGAGAAGAGCAACAAAGATGATTAGGGGATTGGAGGCTAAAACATATTAAGAACAGTTGCAGGAAATGGGTGCATCTAGTTTAATGAGAAGAAGGACTAGGGGAGACATGATAGCAGTGTCCCAATATCTCAGGGGCTGCCATAAAGAAGAGGGAGTCAAACTATTCTCCAAAGCACCTGAGGGTAGAACAAGAAGCAATGGGTGGAAACTAATCAAGGAGAGAAGCAACTTAGAACTAAGGAGACATTTCCTGACAGTTAGAACAATTAACCAGTGGAACAACTTGTCTCCAGAAGTTGTGAATTCTCCAACAAACTGGGAGTTTTTAGAAGATGTTGGATAACCATTTGTCTGAAGTAGTGTAGGATTTCCTGCCTAAGCAGAGGGTTGGACCAGAAGACCTCCAAAGTCCCTTCCAACTGCGTTGTTCTATATTATTGCCACTTGTCCCAAAATGAATGATACCTAGATACTGTACTGTTCAGGTATTGATGTTGATGTATATTTTAAAAATAAAAATCCAACAAAATGGGGAAAAAGAGACCAAAAGCTAAAGTGCATTATAAAGCATAGAGATAATATTTCACAGTGACAATAAAACCAGATTATGCTTGATTCTACAGCAGTAATATGAGACAGATTCCCTCTTGATGATTACTGAAAGTTGGTCAGGTTTCTATTTATAAATAATTAATACTGTTCATTCCCCCCTTTGATCCTCTTTCTATAGAACAGGTTGATTTTAATTTGAATCTAGCACCTCATAGACACATTTCATTGCATTTACTGCATTCTTCCCTCTACTTTCAATGCTTACCTGCAAAAGCAGGAAGCAAAGAATGAATGCACTCCTAAAATATTATTATTCTAACAGAGGAATAACTTCATCCTCATTTAGATTGGTGTTCTTCCCATTCTTGTCTCTCCTTTTGGAATTTGGTGCACTGAACAAGGACACTTCCATCTAGCTGTTTTCATCTCCCAAATCTTTTGTACCATCCCATAGATGTCCTCATTTATGACTCCCAAGGATTCTTTCAAATTCACCAGTGCATCCTTTAGTTGGCCAGTAAGCATCATAAAAAATAATCCAGCCATGGACCACTCTCTTCGGTTGTTACTACTTTGCTCTGTTTATGTAACACTGGCGAAAAACATACAAATGGCCACCGTGTATGAAACAGCAGATCCCTCTTGGTTCAACTAGGAAGGAAGGGGAATGGCATTGAAGTTTCAAAACCACTGTAGCACTTCAACATTAAAAAGGAAAGGAGAAATCTCAAAAGCAAGGATAAAATGTAAGTTCTCACTATGCTGATCAAATTTATCTTTTTTGATATACAGCAAAGATCCAGGACAGATTTTGGACTTTGAACCCTAATTGCCTGCTGATTTGAAAACCTTCCAAAGGAAATTCCATAATTGGAGAAAATATTAAAGACAAATAATTTTAGGATGAAAGGTAATGCTGGCAGTATTAAACCAAGAGGCTGTTGTTTTCCCAATTGGCTTTGATAATTATAGGTAACCCTTGACTTACAGCCATTTGTTTAGTGACTGTTTGAAGTTACAACAACATTGGAAAAAATAACTTGTGACCATTTTCACTCTTACGACCATTGCAGCATCCCTGTGGTTATGTAATCAAAATTTGGATGCTTGGCAACTGGCATGTTCTTAAAATGGTTTTACTGTCCTGAGGTCATGTGATCAACTTTTGCAACTTGACAAACAAAGTCAATGGGGAAGCCAGATAATTGTGTTACTAATTTAACAATTTCAGTAATTTACATAACAACAGTGGCAAGAAAAGTCATAAAAAGGGGCAAAATTGTTTGCTTAGCAATAGCAATTGTAGGCACAAGCAGAGGAGTACCTGTATATATTTTTTGTTTTTAATACAGGTTCTGTGAGTGGTCCATTCTGAATACATAGTTTTAACATCTTATTTTACAGAATAACCATCTGCGGTGTTAATCTGCGTCTGTCAAGGGAATCCAACCCTGATGTTGCACCGGACCTCAAATTCTTTCAGCCGACCCTATTAACACGAGCTACAACTCCCACTAGTAATTCTTCTATGCCAGCCCTAGTAAAAGGAACAGGTGGTTCTATCAATGCAGCAGTTAAGCAGGTGAGTTGTTGTGAAGTCTCCCATGCATTCCAGTGGCATTTGAGAGAAATGAGTTTTGCAGAAAATTAATGATCTGTCTATGTCTTGCTAACCCAAATATGCCACCTGAGATACTTACTTCTCCTTGTCCCACTTCAGCACACAGTAATTTACATTAATCTTGATAGTCCAGAGCTCTGAGACAAGATAACTATGTTTCCTAAGAAGAACTTATCTCTTGGTAGGACACCAAAAATCTGCAGTCCCAAGTTCTTCCCAGCGACAAATAGAGGTAGCATTTAGATCTAGCCATCCTCCCCTCCCACCTCTCCAGTCTCCAGCATAGCTTCAACAACATATTTTGTTGGCAGCAATTAAAAATAGCTTCCTGGCATTGTAGTGGGGTGTAGTGGGGTTTGAATTGTTCATGTCTGCAAGTCCTGTTGTGATTCAAGCTGTCACTTGCAAGGCAATTACAGGAAGCTGTTAATTTAAGAATGGGACCAGAGCCCTTGCAGCAGGGAAGCTGATAGTCGTCACGGAGAGAGAAGCATAACAGTTGGCATCTGTATTGATGCTTGTTTATTTTAAATGTTGGTTGGAACCCATCCTGAACTATCAGGGTTGGTGAGGTTGGCACACAGCACGAAGTGAAAATCTGCACAGTTTGTGTTCGGCCGTGCTAGAAACAGATTTTCAGTTACACACTAGAGACCGCCAGCTGTTTGAAAATCCTGTGGCTTTTGTGAAATACCAGACAGGCAATAAAAGAACATCATGGGTTCATCTAGCAAAGGCAGATGGTGTGTTACTGCTTTATTGGGTCACAGCTTTATAGGCACCTTCTTCTTCCATTCTCACCAATAACTGTGATGTGTTAAGCTAAAACAGGTCATCCAATGACCCTTGTGGTTGAAAAGTTATTGGAATCCATTGCTGCCTTCTATGTTCTAATTTAACCTACAAATATCAGTGTTACCCAAGATAGTTTGAGACTGAGGATCAGGCAAAAGTTAACCTTTCCGATATGCCATTCCTTTATTCTAGCTATAAACTAGGCCAGATCAAGATATTTTTCTCTCTTAAGATAACAGACACTATTTCCACAGGTGGAATGTGACTAGAATATGGGTTGAACCTTACTGCAACATTTACAATTTATTTATTGAGTTTGCATGCTGCCAACTCTATTTAATTGCATAGCAGTTTAAACAAAATTAGGGCATCCGTGGTATAACAAAGTTTGCCGATTGTGCATTAAAAAAAAAGTAAAATAAAACCAGTCTTGTTTCCATTCTTTCTTTACTATATGGAGGTATATCTAGGTGTCCTACATACTGGGATTAAAACACAGTGTTGAGAATTATTTTCATTATTTCAATTTTAAAATACAAAAAACCATTGTCTTGAGGTAGGATTATTTCAGGTGAATTAAGAACTATCCATTTTGTGATTGCAAAAAAGTGCCCTGGCATAAGATTTGCTGCTTCCATTGCTGATCCCTTTTCAGGCCCAATAACAAGATTGGCAAACGATGCTGGCTTTATTGTATTGTGGGTCAGTTAAGAAAAAGGATTTGTGGATTCCCTTATTTTTCCTGAAGGCAATAAGGTAAATGTGGATGGGAAGAAATGGGAAGGAGCTGTTCTGATACTATACACAACTCCTGTTGATGGAGGAATTCTGGGAATTGAAGTCCACATATCTTAAACTTGCCAAGGCTGAAAAACACCACAATAATCTATGAAGTCTATCAGGTTGAATCTGTGGCAAAAATTATATGAGATGAAGAGAGAAAAATAGGTTAAAATTGGAATAGCTACATCTTTAAGTCAATCAATCAATAATATTTATTCAGTTAATTATCACCAAAATTTAAAAGAAAAGTAAAGCAAATAAGTACAATGATATACTAACAATCAACAGAATAAATTATAAAATATAACTTTCACTCCTCTGTTACTATGTTAATACAGATCTAATACAGGTGATAATTCTAAAATGGCAATAGGCATAAAATGAAAACTATATATGCCTACTATTTATTAATTAAGATGTATCAAATAAAGAATAATGTTTAAAACCAAGCCAGTTATATCTTGCTTTCATTGCAGCAACACAAAATTTAGCTACTGCATGTAAAATTAATAGTTTTAAATTCTGAAGGAAAAGGTTCATGTAAAATTTAACTGGCCTCCCAGGGAATTTGTTAGGGATTCAGTGTAGTTTGACCTAATGTCTCTATAAAATTTACAGCGTAATGATATGGTTTCAATTTCCCTATCACCACATGCTCAGCTATGAGGATTTTACTATATCTGCCTTGAAGAGGTGCAGATGGAAGAATGTTAAATCTTGCTTTAGAGAATGCAATTCTCAGTTTAGGGAAAATTAGATTTAGCAATTAACTTGCTGGTCCCACGTGCCCCTGTTAATCCAAATTCTATCATGTTGCCTATTAACTCCAATCTGGAACTCCACATCCCTTATTCTTTGGCTAATTAATTGCTTAGCTTGATTGTAACCTGATGATTTTAAGAATGGAGAGATATGAAGCCAGTTATTCTTTACCACCTATTTCCAGGGTTAGGTGAAAAATTATCTGTTAGAACTAGAGGGTCAGATCAATTGGAAAAAATAACATTTTGAGCCAGTAAATTATCATTATCTTCCTATTCTGAACAACATTCCTATCTCAAGCCTTAACATAGCATTTGATGTTCCATTGGGTGCATCTAGAATTGATCACAGGAATTTTGTTTGCACTATTTCCCATGATTGCTTCCTCAGATACAGATTCCAACTTGTACCCTGTAAAATATTTGAATAAATGATTTAGCTTCAAAAATTTTTAAAGCCTCAGGGACTAACTGTCCTCCACTAGTATAAAAGAAATACTTAATGACATTCATCAATTTGAGGGATGATTGTACCACATAGTTGTTATTCTTCCATCACCATCTTTCAAGTGAAAAACTACCCAGAGATATTTAAATGTATCAACCTTATTATGCCCTTCTGCTTTCCAGTTATTACTACTTGGCTCTTGTAGCGAAAACTAATCTTTAAGCTACTTCAGATATGAGCTGCGGATGGGATAACAACATGTTACAATCATATGGTAGAAAAAAGTTTTTACAATACGGTAGTAGTGTGATTATGGCAAGTTAGCAAAATTTTCCAGGGCGCTGCTCAGGAGAGTCCAAGCAAGGGTTAAATACAGCCAAACTGCCCAGAACTGAATTGAAGATTTAAGCCATGCCTCTGGTGCTGATTATCCTCAGTTTTTTTCAATTCAGCTAGCCCAATGGACGCGCTTAGAGTTTCTCTTCAATTCTATTACTTGCTTGGACTCTCTTTTCAGTAAGTGGATTTAATTTCATTGTATTGGAGCAGGCTTGGAAAGCAAAATATGTTCTTTAATTAAATTGGCCATTCTCTCCCTTCCAGTCCTCCCGGTGTCCTGGATACCTTAGGCACTGCGAGAGGACACAGGCAGCTGTTGGGGGGAATGCGTGGGTCGGAGTGCCGACGCAAGCGCTGTCGCAGCAACCTTGCTGCGGTTGGATCCCCCGCGAAGAGCTTCGTGGACCGTCGTCCGTGCTTTTTGAAGCCGGCGTTTGGCGCGGCTTCTCCGGGTGTTTTATTACTCAGCCGGCTAGTTAAAGTGCAGGCACGGCGGGAAAAAGGCCGCCCACCACTTTTACTCATTCTGCCGGTTTCGCTTTCGACTCCTCGCACATGCCACAGCTACTTGAAGCCTGATTCATCGCAGGAGCCGCTTGGAGTCTTTGTGGTCCGGCCTGGCTGGCAATTTACCTCCAAAGCCTTTCACTCGCAGCAGCGGAACTTTGAGGCCCCCTGGGTCGCAATTGTTATTCCTGCGGGCGCTGGGAGCTGAGATTGCTCGCACTTGATTCTCAAAGTGCCTTTGATCCTCGCCTTCTGTGTCTCTCCAGTGAGCACTCTGGTTGACGGTGGGCTGTTGTGAGGTGATGAGTGGGGGTGTCCCTTATCTGTTGGATTGGATTCAGTGCCATGGCAGATCTGATTCCAGAGGAGCCTGGCCAGTCAGGGGTTTCCTCCAAGGCCTTTGCTAGGCAGGCAGGCGTGGCTGCCAGGGAGGCCATCAGGGGTTCCAAGCCCTATTCCAGGCCTGGGCCTTAGCAGGATCAGGGTCTGATAAGGATGTCTTGCGCCGCCAGAAGGCCCTTGAAAAACACTTCTCCAAGGCCCAACAGCAGTCCCTAGCCTCCCAACTGGTGTCTCCTAAGGAGCCCTCCTTGGGAGTCCCTCCCACTCAAACCCATCCTATTTCCGACAGTGATGAGGAAGGCCAGGAGTTTTCCCCCACGGCTTCCTTGGCCATGGGAGTCTCTCCTGGTGTGTCCATGGTTGACCAGGCCGATCTGTTTGCATGTCCTTCGGACCTGGAGGAAGGGTCTGTCTTGGGACCCTTGGCACCGCAGGATCCGCTCCCCAGGCCAGATCCCAGGGTGTGCTCTGTGGAAGATCAGGGACCCAATCTCAGCGGAAATGCAGGAGGTCATTAATAGAGCCATTTCTCAGGGTATCGAGGCATGCATGCAGCAGAAGGGCAAGCGCACTCGTAAGACCCTGCATCTGCAGCCCCCAGTGGCCCCCAGAACAGCTTCTGTCTTTCAAGAGCCTCCGTCTCCACATTCTTCCATTGCTTCTGAGGATTCAGAATGGGAGGAGGAGGGGAGCTCTTACCCAGGCAGGAGGCTGAGTTCTCCAGGGGCGAATGTGGTTGAGGCAATTGTTAACCAGGATTCCGGCCAGGGATACTAAGTTAAGGCAGGATATTAATAAGATCATGGCGGCCACGGAGTATACTGCCAATGCCACCCTGAGCGTGGCCAAGTTTGCCTTGCGGGCTCTGGCATCTAATGTTGTTACCACCTCCTGTGGCTTCGGCACTGGAACGTGGACATGAGTTCCAAATGGAAGCTGGTCTCTGCTTCCTTTAAAGGAGACAAGCTCTTCGGGGAGGTCCTAGA